AGTGAGCGGGTAGGAGGAGATAACTCTTCTGAACAGCGTTTTTCATAACTGTCCTCAGGTCATAGGGGAGTTGGTCAGATCGGGTCGGGAAGAACTCAAAACGGACAGTACTCACGTCCTTGCTACAGCAAACAGTGCACTTTGTGCGTGTGTGTGTGTGTGTGTGCGTGTGTGTGTGCGTGCGTGTGTGCGTGCGTGCGTGCGTGCGTGCGTGTGTGTGTGTGTGTGTGTGTGTCTGTGCGTGCGTGCGTGTGTGTGTACTATAAAACGACCAATTGAACTTCTTTTGGCATTTGATTCACACTTTCGGGAAAACCGCTTTTGTTCATGTTCAGCTAGCTTTACAATACCTGGTTGTCATGGTGACAAACACAATTTCGTCTGCTGGTGAATACGTGTGTCAACATAGTGTAAATATGACAATAAATAAAATATACTCTCCTAAAGTGACCCAATGCTAAAATATATTGTTTTTATCAATTTCACCATCTACCACGATCTGTGTTTAATTAACCATAAGATAGCTCTTTGTAAAATAAAGATTCTCAGCCATGTGGCTTCTTGATATGAAGTATATGAACGAAGAGCTCGCTCCGAGGCGTACGAGAATTGCAAACATATACAGTGGAATCAGTTCAATCCGGACTCTGTGTAATCCGGTTTTCTCCATAATCCGGACTACTCTCTGAGTCCAGGACAAACTGTTCTTAATTTATCATTAAAGCTTGCTTCATAATCCGGACTCTCTCAGTTACGGATTGCGGACTAGAATAATGTTCAGTATTGGTTATAACATAATACTGTTCATCATCGAAAAATCATTTCCCCAACCGTTTCTGTATGTAATCAGTCATAGGCGATGTCTTGTGTGGACAAAGTACATACACCTAGCTTTAGTGGCAGGGGCATTAGTAATGGTAGTTAATTGTGATGTCAGGGTTATCAATGATGACATAGAGTGCATGTCACATACCATGTATCTTAAAAGGAGTTGTTAAAAAACTTATCTAAGTTGTAAGATACATGGTATGTGACAAGCACAAGTGCAGTAATCTGTTTCTAACACACCCTAAAATCGCGCAGTGTCAGTATCGAATCGAACTGTATTGCCTGTATACTCGCAACCACGTTGGCGCATTAATACATCACACAACGGTCATGTGTGACGTCATCAAACTTACTGCTTATTTATCACGATGATGCAAACCACGAGATCCAACCATTCCACCATCAGCAAATCAGGAAATAGTAGGCGTGGTCTATTAGTCATTTAAATAATTAAATCGAAAGAAATTTGTATATTATGGTTATAGAGCCGAAGTGTCAGCTAACTTGACTGAAGGTGAGAATGGCTTTTGCTCGTTCTTACTGTTTCATAACTAGCAACCTACATTTCATACAGTGATAAAGATTGACAGAGAATGTACTTTGACATGTCTAGTCGATCGGGAATTATGGTAGTTGATATACAGGTCAGAGTTCACTCCAGTGCATATACTTCAGTGCATATCTGATTCTGCTGTAGGTATCTGAGTGCATCCAGGTTATTACGCGAGTGTGTTTTGGAATGATTAATATCCTGCATTATATTTATTCCTAATGCAGGATATTAACCATCCCAAAACACACGTGTGATCACCTCTTTATCATGCAGTGTCATTCTCTTACTTTATAATTTAAAAATGCGATTTCAATTGCCACAAATCATGAAACTGAACTTCGTGGAATGTTTACAGATATATATGACGTCACAAATATGTGCGTAGTAATACGTTACGTCACAAGCTCGGTGACACAAGTATCCACTGATCACCCAATTGACTGTGTTAGGTCATCTAGTCCCGTTATTTTGTCAACAAATCTTAGCTTACGTTTGAAAAATAACAACAAACATGTGGAACTTCAGAAACCTTTATTGACCTTTTGAACAACAAATACACTTTAATGTTCGTGTGACATTCTGCACCTGGATTCCTGTGCCGTCTGCTCGCTAACACTGACAGTCGGTCGGGAATCTGGTATTGGTATCTTCGTAAGCCTATTAATTTCTATCTTCGCTTCGTAATCCACTCCATCTATCATTATCAGACATGAATTTTCTTGGATCATGAAGCACTGACAGTACCGTAACCACTGCCGTTAATCCGGACATAGTCGCCGATAGATTGGCGTGACACCATTTGTTTACACTGTGAAAGTAATCCCTAACATTTGCATATGACTTCTCTAATTTTAAAAGGATCGATGTATTTAACATTACATAGATCAGTTTTCTTCCTTGATTTTGGATTAGAATAGGTTGCTAACACTTCAAGAATCTTCTGAGCAGCCAGTATACTGGGAATCAATTGGGTTGGCTCTTGGCCAGGTCCATCGTGTCATCATCGTAAGCGGCGTATTTCATAAATCAACCACTACGTTTCCTCGCCTAGATAACTTACAGGTAATCTAGGGAAAGCAGTAGTCGAGGTAAATCATAGCTGATATGAATGTTATAATCGATTGTGGCGTTACCTGCCACAACACTTGCACCATGATAAGATTGGCAACATCAGACCCTACCACCTGAATGAGATCCAGCTGGCAATACTGATGCACCATATTACTGGTCGCGTTGATTGAAAACATGACACATATTTTCGATCATTCCTTTTAGGCTCAACGTTAAAATGTAACGTCATCATGATATGATCATTACATAATCATAATCACAACGTTATGACGTTATGACCAGAAACGATATGGTGTCGCCTGCCGGTGAGAAAGCCAAGTGCGGTAGTTGAGAGCAAACGTATGTGATCGAATTACAGATCCGTGATTGGTTACATCACGAAGATGATCTAAGGTCAAATTATGGCGGACTACTGTCCGGATTGTAATCCCATGATACGTCTTCACTGCTTCATTCGATTTGAAGAACGTCTTTGATAAAACTGGATTTTCTTTGATTTTATCTAGTATGCATTATCACGATTGACTTGACAATCCACAGTTGTAACCGACTCATTCTATGTGGAGAGTCACACTGGGTGTGCGTCATGAGCAGTATACCAGATGACGTCACTCATGACCGCTGTGTTATGTATTAATGCGCCGCTGCGACCATGACGAAAATAGTGCAGTTTATGTGCACATTACTCCACTCGTGACAGTTTGGTAGTCCTTGTTTACGCTGTGTACAGCAATCATTATCTTACCTCACACATAAATGTCGCTTTCTGATTGGCTGAGCGCTCTTCTATTATTTTCAATGTACCCCGCTTACAGGCGAGTAACATTTCAATGTACCCCGCTGTCAATGGCAACTCATTTGGTACTTCGTGGTAGTAATTCTTTATCTCGAATGACATTGAATGATGTATGATGTACGGAAATTACCGATGTTTTGCGAATGCAAATCGATGTCAGCAAAATGTAGCGATGGCTACGAAAAGATTTGTACCCGTGCTTCAAACAATCCAAAATTAACATAAAGGTGTTCGGTAAGATAAATGCATTGTTCACGTTGTCCCTCGGGGCCCATTGGTTGATGTACCCTCGATGTTTGTTTATGTTCCCTGAGCTCAGGGAACATAAACAAACATCGAGGGTACATCAACCATTTGGTGGATGTACCCTCGATGTTTGTTTATGTTTGTTTATGTTCCCTGAGCTCAGGGAACATAAACAAACATCGAGGGTACATCAACCCATGCTCCCCTCGTGACCAGTAAACAACTTATAATATTCACCTACAATCCAGTTGTAACTGACCCGTTCATTATGTGCAACTATACATCGTCAAATCGAGTTTAGTATAGATTGAAACCTGTTATCAACAACGTATGTTTCTCTCAAAGAATAGTTTTGTCACCTGTAGATAATTTGTAAAAACGAAAAATCACTTTGTTTCCCTTTCGACACAAATAGATGTGACCACTCGTTTTAAGCACTGTCCCATCGGATCTCTCATACCTTTTTATGTGCAATAAAGTGGTCGTTTAATTCAATAACAGTTTTGCAAATGTTATCGGCACCAGTTACATTGTGGGCAATATTCATTACACAGTCTTCTTTGTGAGACACACCGCTCAACCATCAAAACACATTCAATTCTTATATACATACCATATAGAAACTTGGCAACTGATACATAAGCTCGTGCTGTTCTATATTTCGCTTCGTCATGTTTTACTTTATGCTATATTAACCGTACATATCACAATATCTGCTGGGGTGTTTCTGGGTGGGCTGGGTGTCTGTTGTGTATTGTCATGTAAAACGACATTTGTCTGTGTTGTATTGTCATGTAATACATTTGTCTGTGTTATATTGTCATGTAATACGACAATTGTCTGTGTTGTATTGTCATATAATACGACATTTGTCTGTGTTGTATTGTCATGTAATACATTTGTCTGTGTTATATTGTCATGTAATACGACAATTGTCTGTGTTGTATTGTCATGTAATACGACATTTGTCTGTGTTGTATTGTCATGTAATACATTTGTCTGTGTTATATTGTCATGTAATACGACAATTGTCTGTGTTGTATTGTCATGTAATACATTGGTCTGTGTTGTATTGTAATGTAATACGACATTTTCTGTGTCGTATTGTCATGTAATACGTCATTTGCCTATGCTGTCCTGTGCTCTTATACGATACTGGTACGTTTACGTATAAATTTATAAATTCTCCTACTTGAGGCAACATGTGTGGCGTGACAAAATAGTTAGAATTTCCTGAAAGAGAAAGTTGGTAGCTTCACAGGTAGAGTTTTGTCTGCCGTGGACATCACCCAGTTTCCACCTCAGCAAACTTAATTGATATACGATTACCTTAGAATTAGCTAATTTGTGTCAGTTGCGAAAGGTGCGTTTAGATTATTAATGAGTAAGAAGTTGGGGTACTTTTTTTACATTTGTGACAGTTGCAAAGTTATCTTCTTATTTTGGATCACTTTCTTTTCCTTTTTCTTCCACACACCAAGTTACGTAACAGACGAAAATACTTACCTATTCCAATTCCAACGATGATTCTCCCAACCAACAACACTTCCTTGTCAGGTGCAGCGCCCATCACAATGGCTCCAATGGTGAACACAAAACTCGCCAACATAATAGTCTTCTTCCTGCCCAGAAAGTCCGTGGACACACCGGCCACTAAGGAGAAGATCGCCGCTGCGGCGATCGTTGCACTGACAATAGCTTCCTTCCATACTGTTTGGTCTTCTAGACTAAAGTAGGGGTTAATCAACAGCATAGATCCAGATACTATCCCGGTATCATACCCGAACAGGAAGCCCCCGACGGTGGCGAAACACGACAAGAAGTACACATAAAACTTGCTTCCCTGACCCTCCTTCGGATCACCTGCTTGCACCATCTCTGCCACGGAGTCTACGCGGCCGTCGGAGACGCTGGTCAAAGAACCGGCTTTTGCGTCGCTCATCGTGGATTACCCGCGGTGCCAACAGCTGATCGGAAATCAATCGATGAGGATGGAGAATATAGTCTTCAGCGGAGAGCTTGTAAGACAGTAACGCTGTGCTCTGCTTTATATCCTAAAGATAAGAACGTTATTATAATAATACAATCTAATAACAATGGCAAAAAGTGCTTTCTTTAGATATGAGGCTTAATATCTGTGGACGGCTCTGGCGGTGTTCCCACCCGAATGACTGTTTCTTTTACTCTGCGGGTCGATCTTGACAACGACAGATAACGGGAAAGGGGTAGACGGAATACCAGGGTTGCAGGGTAGGTACGTGTATGTACCTATGTAGATATAACTGCACTGACCGGGACATCTTTGGGGACACCCAACATTTCGTTCAAGAATAATTCAGATACGCCTAGCAACATTCTGGTATTTGCACTGAAATGAAGTGTTTGCATACTTTAGGTTTGATAATTGTATTGAAAAGGTAACTTACAGAGATGCAGGTGGAGAGCAGACTCACTCACTCACTCACTCACTCACACACTCACGCGCACGCACTCACTCACTCACTCACTCCGGATACCAGTCAGTTAGCTTTAATGTGATTGACTGTACTGACCAACAAAATACATTCGACCATTGCATGACACTGTTTAGATTATCTGATAAGCATTTGACTGCCTCTTCAACTATACCTTTATGAAGTACCCTGAGTGTACTTGGCCCTGAAGGCACACACCGACAAAGCAATGTAGCAGATATACCCCTCAGAGTCAGGTGTTCACTTGTGAAAATAGTATCTGGATTGAACCGTACTGACTTGAACTTGATAAAAAAAACAATTTTAGAGGAAAGAAATTAAGGCAGCATTATTGAGAAGCAAATAGCCATGGGTCTACAAGCAACGCTATTTCGTTTCTGTCCTTACCCAATTTCTCTACTGGACCTGGTCATCTCTACTGTTAATGGCTACCTCTCTTACATAAGACCGTCTTCGTGGTCAAGAGGTTCAAGCGTCAGACCGGATCCTCCGTCTCCAGCCATCTCATGCCAAAGACGAGACAATATGGTACTTGTCGTTACCCTGCCTGGGGATAAAGGCTCTGCTTGGAATCGGTATACTGTACATACGCCTGAGCAGGATGTTAAACTGTGGCAGGGTATTTCAGAGAACAACACAACAGAATTGGCGTACATCCGAACTAGTACAAGAAGCCACACACACACGCGTATATGCGCGTCATCTCGTCCTTCACTTAAGCCCGGCACCGGATATAGGCGTATATTGCCTTTTGATGTCGTACAGATTCCAAAGTTTTAGACAACTGAAACCGGTATAAGATGGTGGTAACCAAAGCCATTGGCCAAATAGGTACGTGCAGACGCTGTATACTTACGTGAGTGCATCTGCAGCAAGTTACCAGCTATCCGTTGACATTCTCCCCTACAACCAGCCCGTAGGACTGGTCTAAACCTGACTTCTGTCATCTATCACTCGACGAGAACACGCCCATGACGACATGGGTGTACGGTACCCCTAATTACAAGATTACAACAACAAAAAGTGCTGATGTATACTTGTTTTATTTCCCCTGATAAATGTCTTTTAATGCCCTCCTTCGCCTGCGATTAGTCCCGCAAGGTGCAAGTCGGTCAGCGCAGGAGATTTTGGCGCGTCGTATCAGCAGTGCCAGTATTAGAGCAGCTGCTTCACGTGCCGAGTCTGAGCCGGACTAAGCCGATAGAACGTCACACCGTTCCTCATATTCAGAGCGCAATAAACGCATTTTCAGCCAATCATATACTATTTTACAACACAAACAGCACTTGTAAATGTTACTGTGTTCTGATCTGTTGCTTTACACTTGAACTAGTCTGAGGATGAATCATGAACGATGAGTCACACTTGGGATCATTTGTGTAAAGGATTTGTTATTTCGACAATTATGTCACATGTTATATAGTAAATATGATAAGCACATATAAAGGCCCTTGTATTATTTAAGAGCGGACTGGTTGTCCCGTGAACTCACTGACCGCATTCATTGCTGTACCAGGATCCCTTAAATCGCCATGATGGCTATGTGTTGTATCTGGTGTCTTTGTTATGTAACAGTATATATTGTAAGTTTATTCCTGATAATTGAAAGTGGCAACATATCAAAAACTCCAAAATGACGTCAACTGTTGTGATATAGGTTTTTTTAGTAGTTAGTGGCATGCCTACCCAACTTGTGAAATAGAGTGACTTCAATAAGAGTCCAAAACTCCTCCCCAGCGCTCTAAATTCCGTCCCCGTATTGACACCTCCCCTCGAAGGAGCTTGTCGATTCACTTCCGGGACGAACTCCCTTATTCTGATACTGATAACTTCCGGGACGAACTCCCTTATACTGATACTGATAACTTCAGTATTATCCAGGACGTGACGAATGGAGCAGCCTCTTTTCAGACAAAATGTCGGACACATGTACCGCGATAATAATATCAGAGCACCGAGCTTTTGATTTGCCTGGACACTTGTTCAGTGGATTGCCTGCATGCACGTGCTTGCTTATCTGAACACTGAGCAATGACACAGTGGCTTATCTGAACAGTGGTACCTGAACACTGGCACAGTGGTTATCTGAACACTGGTACCTGAAGACTGGCACAGTGGTTATCTGAACACTGGTACCTGAACACTGGCACAGTGGTTATCTGAACACTGGTACCTGAACAATGGCACAGTGGTTATCTGAACACTGGTACCTGAACACTGGCACAGTGGTTATCTGAACACTGGTACCTGAACACTGGCACAGTGGTTATCTGAACACTGGTACCTGAACAATGGCACAGTGGTTATCTGAACACTGGTACCTGAACAATGGCACAGTGGTTATCTGAACACTGGTACCTGAACAATGGCACAGTGGTTATCTGAACACTGGTACCTGAACAATGGCACAGTGGTTATCTGAACACTGGTACCTGAACAATGGCACAGTGGTTATCTGAACACTGGTACCTGAACAATGGCACAGTGGTTATCTGAACACTGGTACCTGAACAATGGCACAGTGGTTATCTGAACACTGGTACCTGAACAATGGCACAGTGGTTATCTGAACACTGGTACCTGAACAATGGCACAGTGGTTATCTGACTGTACCTGAACAATGGTACAGTGGTTATCTGAACACTGGTACCTGGTACCTGAACAATGGTACAGTGGTTATCTGAACACTGGTACCTGAACAATGGCACAGTGGTTATCTGAACACTGGTACCTGAACAATGGCACAGTGGTTATCTGAACACTGGTACCTGAAGACTGGCACAGTGGTTATCTGCTTGTACCTGAACAATGGCACAGTGGTTATCTGAACAATGGTACAGTGGTTATCTGAACACTGAACAATGGCACAGTGGTTATCTGAACACTGGTACCTGAACAATGGTACAGTGGTTATCTGAACAATAGTGGTATGCTGGATAAGTGAACAATGGTACAGTGGCTTACCTGAACAGCTGTACAGTGGATTTCAGGGACACTGATGTAGTGGCTTACCTGGATGCTGGTCTCTGAATAGTGATATACTGGATTACCTGAATAGTGATATACTGGATTACCTGAATAGTGATATACTGGATTACCTGAATAGTGATATACTGGATTACCTACTGGATTACCTGAACATTGGTACAGTGGATTACCTGAACATTGGTACAGTACAATTACTAGTGGATTAGCTGAACACGGGTACAGTGGCTTACCTGTAGTGGGCTGTCTGAACATCGATGCATGGATTTTTCTCAAGCGTATTGTAGAATGTTCCCTGCCACCAAGACATGAGGCAGCAGTATCTAATCTCAGAGGATGTGTTGTCTCTTCTGTACCCAGCTGCTGGCCAGGGTGGCGCATCCCAACAACAGGTGTTCTCCATGGATGTCGTGATATGAGACCACAGGTTACACAACATTATCTAATCTGACTCTATCTAGTATAGTACAGTGTCACTCTGAATGCCATTGTGTACTTCAGACTGACTGACTGACTGAGTTTGGTTTTACGCCGCTTTTAGCAATATTCCAGCAACATCACGGCGGGGGACACCAGAAATGGGCTTCACACATTGTACCCATGTGGGGATTCGAACCCGGGTCTTCGGCGTGACGAGCCAACGCTTTAACCACTAGGCTACCCCACCGCCCTTGTACTTCAGAGATATACGGAACGCTAATGATATGAGAGTACAGAACAATAATTATTCCGGGCCTGTAGATTTGATTCCACTTCAGGTTAGTTTGACATGAAGGTGTTTAGCTTGCCTTCTGCATGGACTTTCTGAACTCAAACCCACTAACTGCCAAACTGTTCTCCTAATCTAATCACACAAAATGTACGGAATGTGATAAAGTAAATATGCCTTGATACATGATAAGATTATGTTCATCCTTCACAGCTGAAGATGACCACGACTTTATGTCACTGGGGTGTGGGGTGTGCGAAGATGGCTTATTAGACCGATCCTTGCTCGGAAGGGTCTGTTGCATTGGGTACATGATAAGTGCGGGGCTGAACCAGGTTGGGAGGTGGAATTGTCATTGTCTTTTTTTTCTGCCGCTTCTGTACTTTGTCTCTGATGCGTCTCTCTTCGGAAACTGCGACGCCAGTCTTAATGGCAGATCGCCAAGCAGAGCGGTTCTCAGCAGTCTCTTCCCAGACTGAGTGAGGAATGTCACACTGTTTGAAGGGTGTCTTCAGAGTGTCTTTGAAGCGTAAGGGGACGCTTGCCGGAGGACAGTTCTCCGTAGAGAAGCCTCTTGGGGAGGCGACTGTAGTCCATGCGGTGTACGTGGTCGAGATAGATAGAGATACGACAACCTTACGTCAAAATGTACCGTAACGTATGTGACAAAAAACGTATATTGTATATTTTATGTACACGTCTTGATTTATTTCAATACTCACCTCCTAAATAATAATATGTATGGTCACATACTATTATTTAGGAAGTAGCTATGGAAAGATATAAAGCAATCGTACTAATTTCAACCATTGTATGATCTAATGATTGACATATTTCACAGGAGGTTTAGGATGCTTAGAGTACATTCAGGGCGCATACGTTATTACATTACTAGAACCTGAAAATGTTAAATGCCAGCAAACATTTCTAAGGTATTTTAATGCTTGGTCAATGGATCTACCAACTCAAAATGTCACTTTATAAATTTGGAACAAATGACCTTGTAGAATTCGTCACACACTCTATTCAGTCAACAGTAAAATGTTACAGTGGGTTAGTCCTTTCTCAGGCAAGGAGAGATGACTTCAGATTTCTCGTGTTTACAAACAAAGCAAACAGACAATTCGTTTTCAGTTTGGCTACATATCGCAAAATGATTTTTGTTGATCAATCACTCCAAATATTCAGAACCAAGTGTTTTTGTCAGTTAAACCTACCTCATTAAATTCCATATCTGTAATGAATACCAAATATGGTACTTTCAAACCATTTTATGTATCAATTCAGATTCGGAGCTTAGCTGTTGTTTGTTATCTCATCCCAAGTCAGTTCATCGATGCTCACGACGCTCATCACTGGAGTGTGTAGTCCAGACTCGATTATTGGATTATGTACAGACTGCCGTCAGCCGGAATGTTCCTGAGTGTTAAATATAGAAAGTGCAAAAGTGTATTGACTATCCTCAGAAACAAATTCCGTTCGGCGTTCAAACAAGCAATCACTAACAAGCAATCAAAGGAAACACTTCTCCCGATAATCTTGCCTGGTTTCTGGATTCTTCATGCATGGAGGTGATTAGTGTCACAGTCAACTGTGCCATTTTCTGAAATCATTTGAAATCATCAAAATACATTGGCGTTAAAATGTGCGAACACTCGACAAAACCTGGACACATTTGGAAGAATTATTTTTGTGAGGACATATCGAGGTTGAAAGTAAAATTACATTTTTTTTCATTTTTTCATTAAGACATGGGTTACAAAAATCAGACCCGGTACTTTTGTCGATAACTCGTGGAAACTTTGATAACAAAGCCGATAATTCGATAGTAGATGCTACCTTCTCGTAAGTAGATTGTCATATCATTTATGTATCTTCTACGTAGTTTAAAGTTCGTTTAACGTAGATGAAAGTATATTTTCGCAGAAGTAAAGTATAATCTACGTAGATGATATTATTTTTAAACTATGGCACTAATATCCTTCCATAGTTAGTGTTGGCAATCATTGTCAGTTGTTTACCCGTTATACACCGGTATTTCATGTGATCATCTTCCATGTGAGCAGTTTTTTTACACAGAATTCAATAAACTAGAGCAGGGTTTATTTTACATCCGTACCTGTTTCACGTCGACAGTTGGTTGTTCATGATTTCGACAAATATTAATAAGTGTTCGATTCCAAACAGAATTTGGCCAAGGTGGATATATCTCACATATGCGGACTTTGAAACGATCCAATGGGGTAGATGGTATATATCTGCAGAGACTTTGCAGGATAAAGGGTATATATCTACGCCTTAGTATAACATAGAGGAATTATGAAACATATATCAACACATACATTGTATATGTTGTGGTGTAAAATCTGTATAACTGTACAGAGTGAGTGAGTGGGTGAGTGAGTTTAGTTTTACGCCGCACTCAGCAATATTCCAGCTGCATGGTGACGGTCTGTAAATAATCGAGTCTGGACCAAACAACCCAGTGATCAACATCATGAGCATCGATCTATGCAATTGGGATACGATGACATGTGTCAACCAAGTCAGAGAGCCTGACCACCCAATCCCGTTAGTCGCTTCTTACGACAAGCATGTGTTACTAAAGATCAATTCTAACTCAGATCTTCACGACTCTGTACAGAGATATGACCTAGAGGTAAATAGGCCATTTCAGCTAACAGGTCAAGGTCAACGTCAGGATAAATGTAGGCGAAGGATAAACGTCGATTTGCCCAACACATGCGGTTGGAATGGTCGTCACTGTCTCTGTGTTCACATGTACACCTGACACGTGATGCTGGACACCATGTCACACGTGTCACGAACCTCCAGAATGTTCACCTCAATGTCACAGATAACACAGGGAAGATCGTGACCAAGAGAACATTGCCACTGTAGCGGTAGAGCCTTAAAAATAGACAAGCATGTACAGTCAGATAAATTCATAACCAATGGGACCAGTCTGAAGTGGAGGTGGTCTGGGTGTTTGTAGGTCAGATCCGGGTTGGGAAATAGATCGAGTACATACGACCGGACCAAGGGCACAGGACCACGCACCCGTATTGCAGGCTGGATAGCAGTTAGGTTAGAGAATGACTCTGGCCAAAAAGGCCTACATACCAGTCTTGTTTTATACACATGTGCCTTGTGAGGCAATAAGCTGGAAGTTTAGTCACACATTCCCCGCTCATCACTCTCTCGACGGTCGGCTCACCTCGGACCCTTCAGTACAGCTGAATCATCTTGATACACACGAGGGCTTAATTAGGGACTTTGGTGTGTGTAGCTTATGTGACCGCTGGTGCGGCAAGATGAGACACATTTCTTAACAGAATGTGAATATTACTCCGATCTACAATATGATTTTCTCCAGAGGTCTTTTCCAACATATATTTCCTTATGAAACTTAACCCTGGAAGAACAATTCACAAACATTATGCAAAATGATAGTTTAGCTACTCCCTTAGCCGCAGTTGTTACTGCTTTGTAAAAGGAGAAAGTTTCAACATGAATTATAATTAGTGCGCTTCTGACATGGAAGCTACATAGAGTTTATAGCTTCATACGCACTGTAAGATATGTTGTGTTTGGGATTACACTTCCTAGTAAATCCCAAATATACAATGAGTTACATTTGATGTCTTTCTAACTAGCACTGTGTATTTACTCATACATACCGCTGATCTTTATATAAGGTACGTTTAAATCAGCTGATTGGTGCCTTTATACTAGTACTTATATGCTACGATTTCCAAGACACCTCGTGCCTCATAGGCCAGCTGGCCGGTGGTGTATATTTTAAATTATCTTGTCATTGTGATTATATGTTTGTATGTATACCGCGCGACACGTGTATAAAACATCGTCTAATCTTATCATAAATTGTATTCTCTAAAGTTCAATCGCATACTTTCATCGTGCATTGTTTTGATATACGTTATTTTGTATGTGTTTTACGTCGCATCGGCATTGTTTCAGCCATATAGCCACGAGACCATGTATTGAAGACGGGTTTTTCATGCAGCAGCGGGATGATCAGGTACTTTGTAGATATATTTCATGTATTTGTGGTTGTTTTGCCACTTTATGAATTATACCTATCCACAGGTATTACTGGACAGATACGAGTCGTGCAGTTAGTGGGCATTTCTAGACAGATACAGGTCGTGCAGTTAGTGGGCATTACTGGACAGATACAGCTCGTACAGTTAGTGGGCATTACTAGACAGATACAGCTCGTACAGTTAGTGGGCATTACTGGACAGATACAGATCGTACAGTTAGTGGGCATTACTAGACAGATACAGATCGTACAGTTAGTGGGCATTACTAGACAGATACAGATCGTACAGTTAGTGGGCATTACTAGACAGATACAGGTCGTACAGTTAGTGGGCATTACTAGACAGATACAGATCGTACAGTTAGTGGGCATTACTGGACAGATACAGATCGTACAGTTAGTGGGCATTACTAGACAGATACACTGGACTGGACAGATCGTACAGTTAGTGGGCATTACTAGACAGATACAGGACGTACAGTTAGTGGGCATTACTGGACAGCTACAATTCGTACAGTTAGTGGGCATTACTAGACAGATACAGCTCGTACAGATACAGATCGTTAGTGGGCATTACTGGACAGATACAGATCGTACAGTTAGTGGGCATTACTAGAC